CGCAGTCCTGGCCTTCTTACTCCTACCCTCCCAGAATTTTCAGGATCCCAGATGAGCCTTCTGGCTTGCTAGACACCCAGGGACAGGAAGGGAGCCTGTAAGGGTCATAAAAAATAGAGGATTTTCATGCGAGGTCTTACCTAAGAGAGGAGAGTAAATACTATTCCTGCCCCCTACCCATCCCAGGAAGGCAGAGCTGACCCTCTAGCAATACTCTTGCTCACAAATAATGCCATTTGAATTACAGAGGTTTAATTAACAAAAAGACCTAAACAGCCACTCACGAGATATCCAAATAGGGCCTGTGCCATACCTCATTGTCTACCTGCTTCCCAAAGTGCTCTGGGACCAAGAATAACAGAAGACTCCCTCTTCCCTACCCTGCCCCTATCATCCTAATGAGCCCCAGGAAGGCCCCCAGGCATTTTACATGACCCGGGATAACACCATGTGATACTTACATCTTGACCACAGGGATTTTGCTAAACTAATTTAGACTACAGGGTAATAGGCTGAAACCTGGTCCTATACTTTCAAACTGGATTGGGTTGCAAGATACCTCAGTGTTAGGAGGGAAGGTGGTACCCAGGCTTGGCTAGTGGGGTTTCTTAACCTCCCTGCCTTGGTTTACTATTCTGACAGATAGCGATAATCACAGCACCTGTCTCTGGGCTGCTGTGAGAGTATCACAGGCTGGAGTATAGCTGCCCCTCAGCCCAGGAATAAGCACACAGTAGGTAGCTCAAAATGGTGGCCTGTGGTAATAGCTGGGAGAAAACCAGGAAGTCCTGAGGCCTCCAGCAGAAGGTCACAGCATACATTAGGCCGCCACAGTAAGTCGGAGGCCCTTTCCCGCCAGACCAGCGGTCGCAGGTGCCAAAGGTTTACACAAAAGCCCTGGGGAGAAAGACTCAAGACTGGGAAAATGCTTTCCGCTAAATGAACGCTGTCTGCAAACTGGGAAAAGACCACCATTAGTCAATCTGGCCCACGCAACACCTGGGGTCCAGCTCTCGGAAGCCCGGTGTCGGAGTGGAGTTTGGCGATGTCGGGGCTCCCCTGAGGAATGGGGTTCTTACGGTGGGAATCCTGGCATGTGACAGGCCCTGGACCTGTGCTCCAGTCCCGCTCCCTGCCAGTACAGACAGCTCTCCCTCCAGGCCTTGGTTTTCCTACCTGGAAGATGGCATGGTCGGGCTGAGAGCATCTTTCTGCCTTGAGGCTTTCTGGTCTTAGGAACTGACAGCTGGGCCAGCCATAACCTGTGGGCTTCAGAGGCCCAGGGGACAGCCCTACTCTGGGTGGCCAGGGGAAAAGGAACAGGTTTGGTACTCTTGGCAGCAGGCAGTGGTAGGGCGGAATTGGAAAGAATTGGGAAGTCTCTTCTCTGAGCCATGGCTTCCCCTGCTTGGCAGCCCACGGTGGCTGGGGCAGGCTAAACACTAGAAATAATCAATCCTAACAGGGCTTTGCCCAGCTAGGAGGCCTGGCTGGCTCTTGTCATAAAAAGATCTTATCCCCATGAGCACTCTGTGGAGGACTCCGCCCTCCTCGTCTCTGGCGTGTTCCTCCACCTTCTACTTCCTGTGACAACCTGCAAACTGAAGACCAACTTGCTTCTCCCCACCTACTCGGGCCACCCCGCCCCACCCCCAGTGGGCCCCAGCTGCAGGAGGCCCTGCGGAGTGTAATTCCCTGTGCCCTCCTCTCGCCCTGGGCCCATCCGGACAGATTAAGCCTTTGTCACACACACCCAGAAAAGCTCAGGGCCAGATGGGACAGGACAAGTGGTGTCAGATCATCGACCCACAGCCGGCCAGGACTAGGAAGGGCCCCGACCACAGCACTGCATATGGCTGTTGGGGGAGGACGGGGGCCCAGGGTAGGGGCAGGAAGAGAGATGACACACCACACCACGGTCACCACCGGGTCTGACACCATGGGGAGGACTGTTGCTGCTCCATGACCCAGCTCCCACATGCCCTCTTCATTGATATTTTCCTGCCTGTCTGTCCTGTCCATGCCTCCAGGGGCTTCTTTATGGCCTCCCCGAAGCTATGTCCATCTCCCCCACCTGCTGGATACCTAAGGCCCACCAGCTCCAAACAACCAGTACCCACCACAAGACCTGGAGGTACAAAATAAATGCCTGGGACAAAGGTTTATGGCCCAATGACCTTCACAAAAACCCACCCAGGACAAAACTGCAGTTTTTATTCCAACTGACACCAGCAGCAATGACAACTTTGTGTATGTGTGTGTGTGCACGCGCATGTGCACACGTCCATGTAGGCTGGTGAAGGAAGGGGATGTCCTTTTCACCTTTTAAAGAATGTCCCATTCAGTCCCCTCTAAGCAAGGGCCATGGCTGCTCCAGAATTCCCAGTAGGATTTGTTCCTCTTTGATCAATGAAAAGGAAAATGGAAATAATAAAAATAATAACTGCGCCCAAAGAAGGTTCTTGGAGATGGGGGTGGCAGGACTCAGGGCGTCTCCAATAGCTGGCTCCGGTTGGCTGGGCGAGTGGCAGGTAACTAACAGGCTCTCTGGGGACCGCAGGCCAGGCGGGCCATGCAGGGAGCTTGAGGGGCGGGCTGTCGCAGGAGGGTATGTCTGTTTTGTTTGTCATCCTCCTGGCAGCCTGGGCTGGGAGACCTGGGTCCCCTTTCTCTGCCTCCCAGGCAGGTGGTCCCTTGGGGAGGGTTTATTATTAGTCTAAGAGCCAGTAAGGAGGTTCTGGAAGTCCCTGCTGCCAGAGGCAGACAGGGTGGGTCAGCATGGGCCTCAAGAAGGATCTGAAGTGACCGGCTGGGCTGGCAGAAGTTGGAGCCTAGACCCAGCAACCAATTTCTGCGTGTGGCCTTATGGGGGAGGGAGGGGCTCTGCCTTGACTGTTGTGCCAAAGGGGATGTGGGAATGGACAGACCGCCTCTGATACCCCTCTGCAGGGAAGAGGTTGACCCACAGAGACCCAGTAAGCAGCTTCGGGGTCTGGGAGTCAGCTCGAGGCAGGGGCGGACTGGGGGCTGCTTCCTCAGACACAAGAGGCTGGACCAAGACTGAGCTCCCCAGGACAGATAACTAGGATCAGGGCTGGGGTGGGGCACAGTCTGGGGAAGCCCTCAAGGCAGAGAAGGCACTGATCTAGGGTAGAGCCAACCATGGGGTGGGTCACTGACCCAGAAAAAGCCATCTTGAGCGAGGGGCACTGACCCAAAATGGGGAGAACCGAGACAGGTACCAAATTGGCAAGGTGGAGAAGGCTGACCTAGCCTGGAAGAGGCGATGACCCACACTCCGCATTTGGGAAAGTGGACTCCGATTTGGGCTGGGGGAGGGGTCCCTGGCTCCACCATAGGCGGGTGCAATGACCCAGGTCACCTGCATTAGGGGACAGTACTGCTTTCGGCTTAGGGAGAAGGTCTCTGACCCGCGCCCTGGAACACTGCCCCAGCCTCCCGCTCCGGGAGGCCGCGGGGAGCGCCCCTTGGCCCTGCCCCCTGTTCCCGTCCGGCCGGAGGCGGCAGCGGCGCAGATGAGCTGCTGGCGGCCGCAGCGGCGGCGGCGCGGTTATCAGCGCTCCTCGCAGATGGGCCGCCCGCCCTCGGCGCTCGCTCGCTCGCGGCGCCCGCTCCCCGCGGCCTGCAGCCCCGTCCCCTGGGCGCGAGGGAAGGCGCCTCCGGATCAGCGCCCGGCTCCCGCCTCCCTCCCTCCCGCCCGCCCGGCCCCTCGCCCCGCGGCCCGGCCCGGCGGCCGCCGGAGGGGGAGGGGGAGGGGACAAGTGCACTTTTCGTAACGACCGAATCAATTGTGTGTGAAGAGCCCGCTCCGGCCGGGGACGGGGCGGCGCGGGGCGGGCGGGCGGCCCGGACGGGGGAGGAGCGCGGAGGGGACGCGGAGCGCGGAGGGAGGGAGGCCGGCGCGGGGCGGCCGGGCTCTCGCGCTCCGGCCGGGCGAGGCCGGGGAGGGAGCGGTGGGAGGAGAGGGGGCCGCTGGGTCGGGCCGGGCCAGGCCGGGCCGGGGGCGGAACGCGCTGAAGGAGGGTCTGGGCGACGGAAAGTTCAAAGCTCAGCAGCGCCCCGGGAGCGGCCGCCCCCCCCAGCCCCCACCCTCTGCAGAACAATGAGGTCCCGGCGGGGGAGCCGCGGGGCCCGCGCCGCACGCCCTCTCCAGGGCGCCCCGGGCCGGAGGGGACGCCCCCGCCCGGCCGCCGGCCTCCTCCCTCCCGGCGGCTGCGGTTCCCGCCCCCTCCCCCACGCCACCCCGCCCGGACCGGGCTGCCCCGGGGACGGGGGAGGGGAGGGGATGGATAGGTCAGGCCGCCCCCGTCCCACAGCGGGGGGAGCGCGGGGCCCGGGGGCGCAGGGCGCGCCCCACCCACCGGCGGGAGGCTGCTCCTGCGCCAGGCTGCGGCTCCGGCCGCCCCTCCCAGAGCCAGCGCCGGGTGGGGTCGGGGCGATAGTGGCCCGGCTGCCCCCTCCCCTCGCGCTGGGAGGCCCCGCGGACTCCCAGTCCCGGGCTGCTCCTGCCTCCCTACCCCCGCGGCACCACCCTCACACACACACGCGCGCGCACACACACACACACACACACACACACACACACACGCCGCCCAGCCGGCCTGGGGGCGGGAGCGCGAGGCGCCCGGGACAGGCAGCCCCGGGGCGGGCGGGCGGGGGGAGGCTCAGGCTTCGGAGCAGCAGCCTGCTGGCGGGGGGAGGGGACGGGAGGACGGAACATGCTGGGGTGAGCAGCCCGGGACAGCCCGCCCGCACGGCCGAGGTCCCGGGCAACGGCGCAGAGGGGGCAGGGACGCCCCAAACCCGGAGCGCAGCCTGAGCGGGCCGGCAAGCAGGGACGCGTGCGCCCCGGGTGGGCCAGACACACGGACAACCCCGGGAACACGCGTGCGGACACACACCCACACCCACCCCGCCCCCGCCCTCCAGCCCGGAGCCCCGCCGCGGGACCGGCCCGCGCCCGCCGCGCGCGCACTCACCGAGCCCGTCTTGACCGGCACATACACCACTTGGCCCATCTTGGGTTCCCGGCCGCTGCCCAGGCGGAAGCCCTTGGAGCGCACCCAGAACTGGAACTTGCCTTTCTCGCCGGCCGCGGGGCCGCTGCCCGCGCCGGTCCCGCCGCCGCCCTGCAGGACCTCGGCGATCCGCTGGTATTTGCTGCGTGTCACCGTCTTGGTTTTGGCCGAGTCGCCGTAGGTGCGCAGGCACCAGTCCCGGAACTGGCGGCCCAGCTCCGAGTCCCCGGGGTTGCGCTCGCGCTCCCAGCCCCCGCGCAGCAGAAGCGTCGGCTTCGGCATCCTCCCGCCGCGCCCGGCGCCCTCGGGGGCGGGCCGGCCACCGGGCCGCCCGGTGGGGCACGGAGCCGGGCCGGGGCGCACCGGGCCCGGGCTGTCCCGCGGGGTCGCTCCGGTGCGGCGGCTGGATGGGCACGGGCGGCGGCCGGACGCGCGGGGCTGCGGCGCGCTCTGTCCTGCTCGGGCGGCGGCGGCGCGGCGTTGGCGGCGGCGGCTCCGGCTCTCCTCCTGCTCCGCCTCCTCCTCCCCCCGGCCGGGATGCAGGAGCGATGGAGGCCGCTCCGGGCCCGGAGGTGCAGAGGGGGCGGGCCGCCCCGCGGGCGGCCGGAGGAGGCGGGAGGCGGGGAGCGGCCCCGGGCGCGGGGAGCGAGACCGAGTCTGGGCGCAGGCGGCAGCGGTGGCTGTCAGCTTGCGCGGCTCATCCTGCTCCTGCTCGGGCTCCCGCTGCCGCTGCTCTTCCTCCTCCTCCTCCTCCCGCGCCCGCCTCCACCGCGCCGCGGGATCCCACCTGTTAGAGCGGCGCAGCCTTCGCCGGCGCCCGCCCCCCTACTCCAGCGCCTGCTTGCCCGGCCCGGCCCCTGGGGGCGTGGGGGCTGCAGCATCTGCATCCGCGCAGTGCTGGGCCCAGAGACCACTGTCCATCTGGCTGGCCCGACCTGAATCCTGGCAGGCCACGCTGCGCCCACACCCAGCGGTCCAACTAGGAGGAGGGTACAGACCCCCGCCCAGCAACCCGCGGTGTACTGGTCTCTCGGGGCTGCCCCACCCGCCTGAGCGACTGAACCCAGCCAGGCCGTGTAAGGCAGGCTCCCCTCGATCTGAAACTGGCCAGACCTTTGTGTTAGCCCAGTGTCCCAGCGTTGTGTTCCCCTGGGGATCTCCAAACCGGGGCCCTTGTGGGCCCCCAAACTTCCTCTCCTTTGACCTCCTCCCAAATTCCCCAAAGTTTGGCCGACCTTGCCTCGGTGAGTCCCCTTGCTCTGGAGCAGCCTGTGGCCCCATGACAACACATTGGCCCACTACCTCGCGTAGGCCAACCACACCTTACTTCAGACCTCGGACACATCCACAAACCCATCATGGGCACCCTATCTCTCTAGGCATACCATGGCCTAGAATCTAAGTATACGCAAGTGGCCTTCATTCCCTTCCTACCTGGGCAGATTTGACCTTGGGTAAGCTGGTCCCCTTCCCCTTAATGAAGTTACCAGCATGAATAAAGGCACAGGCTAATCCCACAGGATTTCTGCCCTCCTCTCTTAACAGGCATGAGGAATTGCTACCTTTCTCTCCCTGCTGTGCCTCGAGGTCCACCTTTATGTCCCCTAACCAGTCTTGCAAGCTACCACTCAGGAGCAGAACCTCAGATTTTGGATCTGCAGAACCATTTTTTGCCTAGGAATGGGCTACCCTATCCTAAAGTCTGGGACTTAGGTGTGCCTTCCCCTGGCTGCTCTACGGGGAGATGTGAAGGGGGCATCTCCTTTTTAGAGGTGAGGGCTAGCGCCTTGGAAAGGTAGCCTGACTTGCTCAAAGTTGTGAAGAAAGAGGACTGAGTCTCAGCTCCGTCCTCTCTGGCATTTGCTGCCATGTCTTACACAAAATCTGTCCCTGTCACCCACTGGGAGGGAGTCCCACACTGTGCATCCCCGGCTCACTTCCCCCTGGGTGACAGGGAACCCCAGATGCTCAGGGCCTGTAGCTGACTCATCCTTGTAATTCCAAGCTGTAGCACAACACCTGGCGCACAGTAGGGGCCAGTAAATGCTGGGAGAACCTAAGAGGTCTTCCAGCTCCCAACCTCTCTCTGCATTTCATGTAGGAGATTATTTTTAGATAATTTACATTTCCATGTTACTTTATATACACCAAGAACTCCACAGTCATTTTCTTCTCTACCCTCCCAAGGGCTCTTTCTGAATCCATACTGGCTTGCCCACTTTAGAGGTGACCCCTGGGGCTCTGAGAAGGGAAGAAGCTGTTACCCGAAGACCACCAGTCCTGAGGATGTAGGGCTCCTGCAGGATTTGGAAGCAATGCTCCGGCTTTTCTAGTGTGCCCCTTAATAGTTATCTCTCCTCTGACTCCCTCCCTGACAGCCAAGGTGCTCAAGCCTGGTCATGCCAAAGATCCAGGGTGCCCTGTTGTCCAGGGGGTGAGTCTTCATTTGAGTCCAAGTCTCTCTTCTTAGTTCCAAAACTCACTTCAGTAAACAGTCAGATCACTTCTCCATCCAAGTCTAGATCTTTATCTGCCTTTCAGAAACTAAAGTCCTGGTTGTCAATCTTGGGCTGAGCTCTGCTGTGCAGAACGTGCAATACGCATGGTGAGAGGAATGTACACTTTGGGTAGGGCCAAACAGACTTGACCTTGAACCTTGATTGACTATTTGTCCCTGTGTTCTCCATGCTCATGAGTCCTACTTGGCTACCTCCCAGATGAATGAATCCATCAGACCCCCTTTTACTGGGTGACCTCATGTGAGCCACCAAACCCCAACTTTATTGTCTGTAGAATAGGCAGGATGTCATGGATATAAAGATTCTGGAGGATAATATATGTGAGAACATCTGACATATTGCAGGTGCTCAATAAATGCCATTTTCACCTGTAATCCCTTGGGAAGCTGAGGCATGAGGGTCACTGTGAGTTCAAGGCCAGCCTAAACCACACATAACAAGACCCCATTTCCACCAAAAAAAAAAAAGAGGCCATTTTCTTTTTCTTGGGATTTCAAGGTATTCAAAGAGTGAGATGAACATTGTTAATACTTTTTTGTGTTTCATTCATTCAGCAAATGTTTGTTAAACAATCATTGTGCAACAGGTGCTGGGGAAATGGTCGTAGGACCCTAGGATCTCTGTCCTGCTAGACTGGCCAGTGGGTGGAGAAGATGGCCACTGTGCAAACCTGCTGTGACTGATCACAGTTCAGGAAGAGCCACAGTGGAAACAAGAATCTGTATTAGCCAGTGCTGATGTGAGGGGCTGCTTTCTTAGAGGAATTCGGGACAACTCCTGTGAGGAAGTGGCATTGGAGCAGTGAATTAAATAATGGGGACCAAGAGGCTTGCAATGCTAGGATCTGAACAATGAACATTCCAGGCAGTTATCAAGGGCCAAAGCCCTGAGGGGGAAGGTGATGGTGTTTCCCAGAACCAGAAGGAGGTCATGTGGTGAGACTGGATGGCGGGAAGGGCTTAGGATTCCTAGGGGAAACTTTGGGTTGCATTATGGGTGCTGTGGTAGCCGCTGGGAGAAACTGAGGAACAGAGAGGAAGTGAAGGGTGGACAGCAGGGGCACTGGGCCAGCATCTGTGACGTGGTCCAAAGGCTTGAGAGCTGAGGCCTGAGTTTCTCCTCCCAGGGTCAGCTCATTCCACATCAGGCACATCCCAGTTTCTTGTCCCGAGATGCCAGAAGGAGTGGAGGAGGCTGATCAGAGGTGGGAGAAAGGCTCTGCAGAGCACCCCACTTCTGAGGCATCGGATCCCCAGACCTCTGTCTTGTCTGTATCAGTGGCATCCTGCAGGAAGGTCCTGCCCAGAGCGGGGGATGGGGTAAGCTTCCCACAGCACCCAGCCGTGTATGTGAGGAGGATAATCCTGGCCCTCGGATGCGGCTTCTGCCCTCTTCTTCCCCCTGCAGACCCTGGCGAAGGGACAAAACGGGCTGCCTGAGACCTGAAGGCTGGTGGATGCCCTGTTTTGTTTTGTTTTTTCATGCTTCACCCGTATGTCCAAAGGCAACTGGAGTCCACACCTCTGGAGCTCGTGGCCATTTCTAATGCTCCTGGGAATGTGCTTGGTCACAGAGTTAGCATGAGCAAACTGAGTCCCACAGAACGGAGGAGACTCAGAGCCACCACAGAGGTAGCCCCTAACCTTGGCCTGGTCTGGCCCAGAGCACCTGCTTTTTGCTGAGTTCTGCAGGGCCAGATGTCTACCACTCAGTGACGAGTCTGTCCCAAGTCTGTCCACTGCACATTACTGCTCAGGAATGGAGCGACTCAGACCCCAGGAACCTTCCACCAAAGATCTGGGAAGAATGGACGGGGGGCAATCCCATACCAGGGCACAAGGGAGTGGTTTCCAGTGCCAGAATTGATGCCCCTTTCTTTAAGGGCTTTTCGTCAAACCACCTGCTACGGCCCTCTCCATATCCTAAAGCACCTGCTCCTGTCCAGCCACAGGTCAGCTGCTGACCTCATCCATAAGGCTTTCTGCCCCTTGGGCTGTTCCCTCACAGACCCCTGGGTTTTCCCCGTTCTGTGAGCACACAATCATAGGCACTATGATCTTGTTCCGGGTTCCTCTCAGTGCCCAACACAAGGGCTGAAGTTTAACAGATAGGTCATGAATAAAGGATAAAGGGACGAATGAATGAATGAATGAACAGATGAATGAGCTAATTCTCAGTCAGGAACTATCAGGCAGAAGTCTACAACATTTACACCACACTCTGCGTGCTCCATCATCGGGCTGTCAGCCTTTACTGTGCCCCTCTCCCAGGCTCTGCCGCTGGGCAGGAGTTCCTCCGTCTCTCTAAGGCTGGCTTTTCTGTGCCAGTAAAATGGGGATATTGATAATGATCTCCAGCTCACAGGCTATTGTGAGAATAAGCACTCAATAAATGTCAACTCTTATTATCATTATGTCTATCTGATGATCATTCAGACGTTTGTTCCAACATCTTCTGTATGTCAGATGCCACTTTTGGCATGAGAATATAAGGTAAACAAGGTAGATGATGTGGCCCCAGACTTTGTGAATCTGGTTGCCTTTTTGTGTGTGTGTGTGTGTGGTGGTACCAAGGATTGAACTCACAACCTCACGTTGCACTTACTATGTAGTGCAGGCTGGCCTCAAAGTCACAGCTATCCTCCGCCTCAGTCTCCGAAGTATTGGGATTACCAGCATGTGCCATCATCTCCTAGACGATCTTTATCAAATCATAAGCAAGTGATTGAGAATTAAAAGCCAAGGGACATGAGAACACAGGACAGGGAGCTCAGGTAAGCAACTCCGGGAAGCCGGGTCTTCAGGGCCCTGGACAATAAGGTGGGGGCGCTAGGACGTGGACACGGAGCAGGAGAAGGAAAGAAGGGGCTCAGTCCTGCAATGCCCATGCCACCCTGCCCACGGAAGCACTAACCAATGGGGAAAACAGCCCGGCCTGCATTTGCTCACCCTCAGGTCCCGCATAAGGGAAAGCGTAGAGGTTAGAACACGGCAGTAACCGGCTCAGAGTGCCACCTCCTTTCAGAAGCAGCCCCCGGTGTGCCCTCACGCTGCCCGGCTTATCTTCCCGGG